AAAAAAAGACCCAGCTTTATTATATGAGAAACACGGTATTAAACATGAGCTATGAATAATAACAATAGCATCTGTAATTCATTTGTGGATTTAACTTTGACAAGGCTAGGTCCAAAGTGAATTAAGCCATTATTTGTCAAAAAAGCAACAGTTAGCTAAACATGCAAATTGATCATGATTTTATATAAACATGCTAAGCCCCCTACAAGCAAGCAACATTGTGGCTTGTCAATTTTGAATCAATTAAATCTGAAGGAAGCACTAATCACCATAAGAAATGATATAAATGAGGCTAGGTATCTGTTCTTAACCATGAAAGACACATTGTGACTTTATGATGCAAGATGCAGACTCTGCCACTTCTTTGTATTGAAATATTGCATTCAATTGTGTAACAGACAGAGTTAGCATCACAATGTCATACAACACAAAGTTGATGAAATATGCTTCCCTCTGGATGCCCATGTGAATGGGATAGTTGAAATGGCTGAAAGGGAAGATGATTATACATGAATGAAATAACTATATATTTGGGATTATCTGGTGAAGGAAAACTTCTCTGTTCTACAGAAGTTACAGAAAAGAAATGGCCCACTATCATTTATAAAAAATCAAATAGTTAGCAGTTCCCTAGAGAGGCTTGACATCAATCTAGGAAATTCCCTGAGATATTTCACCATAGTTATTTTTTGACTAAAATTCAGTATGAAATCCATACTTCTCACTACATACAAATTTTAAAAGAAATTATACTAAAGGCTAAATAATACAGTTGTGTTTTTTATTTGTTTAAGTTTGTTTTTATTTTAGATCACAATTCCTAATTTTCAACAAATAATATACCAGGCATCAAGTAAAACAAAATTGATTCTTGGCGCTTTGTCCCTACTCATTAAACATAATTTGTTTGATGCTAGCTTAATTCCTAATGCTATATGCTTATCATTTAGCATTAAGAACTACTGCTACTATTTAGCAGTTTTTTATTTTTATATATTTTCCCCACATCAGCTCTGGATAATGAGTTGGGCTGAAAGAGTGATTGGCTCAAAATCACCCAGCTAGCTTTCATGTCAGACTAGAAAATGCCTTATTTTTCATCAAGATAGGGTGATTATTACAATTACACAGACATGGTTTCTACAAAATATAGTTACTGGAAATTGACACCCAAAAGCTACAATTTTCTTTATTGCTTTGCTGCATCTATTTTGTCAAAAGAGTTTTGTAGCCTAAATCTAATAGTGCTAAGACATTGTTAATTATGATTAAAAGCAGAAGAAATGGTTTGTTTTTACAAAATGGTAGACACAATCTGTTTTTACAAGCCACAGTGTCTGGTGTCACTTGGTGATAAACCTAAATAATTTTAGCTTAGCAATGATACAAAGCTGACTTTCAATGACAGAGAAATATTGATATTGTTGCTTATAAGTTAAATTAACCAACTTTAGGTCAACAGGATATACTTTCCTGTTTAAGAAATATTGTATGAACAGTAAGTTCCCCTTGGGGATTTATGATTGGATGATACCACATGGTTCATGATGTCACAATACAAATGTTATGAACTGTATTGCAATTGTGTGAATTTACTATATTACTCTTCCCAAAACCAAATTAACAAAATTATACTTTGTGAACTACATTGGGACAATAGTGGGACAAATCCACAGTATTTGCATCAATGTCTTCTAACCCATTATTTGAGAGCCAGTTTGGTATAGTGGTTAAGATACTAGACTGGAAACTATGCATTCTAATCCTATTTGGAAAGAAAACATTGAAGCCAGTCACCCTCTCTTAACTCTAAAAATAGGGCAATGGAGTGTCTGAAATCTTACCCAGAATGCTGCAGGGACAAGCCCAGTTAGCTGCCAGGAGTCAAGATTCACTTGAAGGCAGCCCAAAATTTGTGATTAATAAATAAATAAATAAAATAGATGAATTAATAAATACAAACTTTATTTTTTGAACATGATGAACCTGGCAGTTAACTCTTTTGAAATATTTCTGAGTCATCATGTACATGAAGGCCTAGTATTTTAACCTTGGTTCAGGAGGTCTGGTTAGTGAAGGGAAGGAACTTTAAAAGTAGCCTATAAAAGAGTATCAGGTGAAATTATGCTTTAAATTGCTTCATAAAGTTCATTACAAGTAGTCCTCAACTTATAGCAGTCTGTTTAGTGACCATTCAAAGTTACATCAGCACTGAAAAAAGTGACTTATGACCATTTTTCACACTTATTACCCTTGTAGCACCCCCATAGTCACGTGGTCAAAATTCTCATGCTTGACAACTGACTCATACTTTTGTAACCTTTTGTTACCTTCTTTTGTCTCCTTTTGTAACCTTTTGACAAATCAAGTCAATGGGGGAGCCAGATTCACTTACAACTGTGGTACTAACTTAAGAACTGCAGTGATTCGTTCAACAACTATAGCAAGAAAGGTCGTAAAATCGGGCAAAATTCACTTAACAAAGCTCTCACTTAGCAACATGAATTTTGGACTCAGTTGTGGTCATAAATCTAGGACTACCTGTATTGTTATTATCATTATTATTTGAACAGAAGTTTTTTGCAGATTCAGTACCACAATAATTTCCTTCAGATAAACAGAAGCTTTCCAGCAGAAGGTAAACCACAGATAAGAACCAGTTTTGATGCTTGTTAGAAACTGCTGAAGGCAGAGATCAGGTAGAAGAAGTAGTTTGATGGAAAGTTGTGACTTGAAAAGAAATCTGCAAGAGACCCAACTATGAAGAGGTATCGTGGCATTTAGCTTACAGCTACGGGCATAAGATCCTGGCAGGGGTCCAAAAAAAGTTCATAATTAGCATACTAAAAACGCAACCCCTAATTATTTAAATGAATAATTTAGAGATCACTGTAAACATGCTAAGAAGCTTCTGGAGAACAGATGAATATGTGCACAATCAGCATGCTCAGTATGTGGTAGATAACCAATGAGTGAGATAGTAACTTTGTGTTTCTTTATAGAAAAAAATATATATAAAAACTTTGATATAAACCTGGCTGGGGGTCCCCATTTCCTTTTGAGCTGAAAATGACAGCTGGGATGCCCACTGTGCTCCTGTGCAGAAATAAAGTGTTTGAATTCTGCTTTCCTCTAGTCAGTGGGAATCATTACTTCTTCACACCAGGTAAATGAACAAAGATTTGGTTTCAGGTCAGCCTTGAGTTACAACCATTTGTTTAGTGGACCATTTGAAGTTACAACGGCATTGAAAAAAAGTGACTTATGACTGTTTTTTCCCCCACTTACGACCATTGCAGCCAACAAGACAGACACAGACTCAGAGAGTAATTAGGATTGCAGAAAAAACAATTACTACCAACCTGCCTTCCATCGAGGACCTGTATACTGCATGAGTCAAAAAGAGGGCTGTGAAAATATTTACAGACCCCTCACATCCCAGACACAAACTGTTTCAACTCTTTCCCTCAAAACGACGCTATAGAGCACTGCACACCAGAACAACTAGACACAAGGACAGTTTTTTCCCAAACGCCATCACTCTGCTAAACAAATAATTCCCTCAACACTGTCCAACTATTTACAAAGTCTGCACTACTATTACTATTAATCTTCTCATCACTCCTTATCATCCATCCCCTCCCTCTTGTGACTATATGAGTTTAACTGTCGCTAGTATCCTTATGATTTATATTGACTGTTTCCTAGTATGATTCAACTGCTTATTGCACCCTATGACTATCATTAAGTTTTATACCTTATGACTCTTGACGAATGTATCTTTTCTTTTACGTACACTGAGAGCATTTGCGCCAAGACAATTCGTTGTGTGTCCAATCACACTTGGCCAATAAAGAATTTTCAGCATATATTGGTGAGAGTTGTCGTTTCCCGGAGTCATGTGTTCACCATTTGTGATTTCCCTAGTTGGCTTCTGACAAGCAAAGTCAATGGGGAAGGCAGATTCACTGAGCAACCGCATGATTCATTTAACAACTGCATGGATTCGCTTAATAATTGTGGCACAAAAAGTCATAAAATGGAGCATAACTCATTTAACAGCTGTCCTGGTTAGCAACAGAAATTTTGGGTTCTATTATTGTCCTAAATCAAGGACTACCTGTACACGTGAAATTTTGTTGAATTAATTAATTTTTGGTATTCACAGTAATTTAGCAGCTCTCGAAGCTGCTAATATGTTTGGGCAAAATTGTGAAATTAAAAAAAAAAATTAATGGAGTATTCTGTCATTCCACAGTATTAGACAATCCAAATTTCTCTTGCCATGTCTTAAATGGTTTAAAACTTGAAATAAGTTGACTTAAAGTAGGAAAACACCTAATATCCTACCAAATCCCATGAATTCCAATATAAATTTTCAAACTGGAATTTAACTTCAAAATGGAAATCAGAATAGGGGCCAAAATTATAGTTCAAACCTACCATCTTCTAAGTATGGCATCATTGCATGCTGGAATACAGCTAAATTTTCAGTTAAAACAGGTATTATTACATTTCAAATGTATCAGAGGCGTCACATAATAGTTGTTTAATTGTGCCCATGACATCCATTGAAATTGGACCTAATTCGGAAAAGAGACCCTCAGATGTAGTCCCAGTGAGAAATGAAGTACATATTATTCTGCTTAAATTCAGAAAATCAAAATATCAAAATCACAAAGGTGTGTGTTTATAGACAAAGGTATGTGTCCCTGTGGGGGGGGGGGGTGTGGGGGGGGGGGGGGGGGGAGGGGGAAGAGAGAGATTTCCAGTCTTCTCCGTATCGCTGATAAGATGTTCGGTTATGCCAAGTTGTAAAGGAGTCTTATCGACATTTTACAGCCTTGTTTACCAGCTCACGTGCCCCACCCACCCTCCTTCTATCTCCGCGGTCGAAGGAGAGGAGGAACTTCGGTTACGCACCAGAATTAAGACTCGTCCCCTTCCCTTAACGTTAC